AAAAAGAAACAACATAGACTTAGTAGTTCCTGACACCACCCACCCCCCAAAAAAAGACAACAAAAAAAATTTTTTTTAAGGCATTCAGTATCAGCTTTAGGGTAGCCACTCCTATCAGAAGATAATAGTAGAAATTTCTGAATTATCCCAAAACAAGACAACATCAACACAACCCCAACACCCAGCCTCCTAGCTATAGCCATCCTCCATGATATAGGATCATCTTTCATTGGGAAAGAACCACCAACATTACACACTGAATCAAACACAAAACTTAGCATTGTTGCCCCAACAATCATTTCAGTAAGTGGCAAGAGAATTTCAATAGGTAAATGATTAACATCAAGCTCACCACTTTATGCCTCAGAAAACCCAACCTAGTTCTACTTTGGGCCAGTTGGTCTCTCTCTCTTTTTAATAGCAGATCCCGGTTGTGTTTCCATGGTTATGGTCTCACACGGAGGCAAACTGGGCTTTTTTATTTCAAAAAGATTCTACTCTCAACTTAAAAGCCAGTTGATAAAACTTTTAATTAAGACACAATAGCGCAGGATATAAAAACACAAGAACCACATAAATATTGAAGAAGTCGTATACCATTTTCGTGTAAACAGTTTTGCTTAAGAAGGAAGCCCTAATCAGATTCTGGTCCGGAACTTTTGGCAGATGATGTGTGTGCAGCCAGGCTCTGCGGGATGGTTCCAGTGGAAGCCAGGTCACCCCCCTGTTGACAGGCATGCAACTCGCAAACACTGCACAACAAGCAACACAAAGAGCATGGAGAAGCTCACAAGACTGCAAGGGGACCTCACGACCTTCACAACTTAGTATGCACAGACAGACACACCCTCCCTCCCTCCTCCTCGGGCACGTTCTCACACGTGGGAGACTTTCTGCGACTCCCGCGCTTGTTTGATGCTATACAACCACTTGATGATTCGGGCATTTCTCTCGATGGCAGAAATGCCATACGGCACCCGGTCATTAGCACTGTCGTCATTTCTAAGGTCACTGTTGCTGTCCTGAGACTGTTCACAGTCCGAGCTGATCATGCTTGCGCTGCGGAAGTTGAGGGAGATGATGTCAGAGTTAGCCCGTGCAAAGTTTTCCATACCAAGGTTTTCCAGCTCCTCAGGGTCTAGGCCGCAGTAGTTGAAGAACCTCTCCACATCGGCGTCAACGCGGAAGTACCTGTCACTCAAGTCTGACTTGGAGCGCTGGAGGGAGGGTCTCCGGCTGACTCCACAGGCCGGTTCCACAGGGTCTGCTTCTGGAGACTTGGTGGTGGTGAGGGCGGCGATCTTGGGTTTGGGAGGCAGGGGAGGGGCGGAACTACTGCAGGGGATTGCTTTTAGGGGCTTCACACTGGTGGCTCTGCGGATGTCGGAGGAGCTGTGGGAGACGTGGAGGAAGGACTCCGCCGACTGCTCCAAGAGCCTCCTGCTCACGTGGGAGCTGCTCTCCTGCGTGCTGCCGTGGCCGTGGGTGGGGTAGACCTTCAGCGACTCGGCGAAGGAGTGCCGGTGCAGGTCTGTGGTGTCAGCCCTGTGGGGCGGCCAGTTTCGGGGACCGTGCTTGTGACCCGAGCCGGTGCTGGAGCCCTCAGAGCTGTTGATGATGTTTTTCAGAATCTCAAGTTTGAGGTTCTCCCTCTGCACGCCACTCTCCGTCTTGGCGCTGCTGCCGAACACTCTCAGGGTTGGGCTGCCCAGGGCGCGCTTGGCCGCCGGGCACACGGGGGGCTTGGCGAGCACTGCCGGCTTCACAGGCTCCTGCTTGGCGTTGATCACCTCCTGACTCTTGACATACTTCGCCTTATCGGCTTCCAGTCGCTCCACGGCGCTGAGCCTCTTGGGGTTCGGCTCGGCCTGCCTGCGGAAGTAGTCAGGGCCTTTGTTGAGAATGCGCAGGGGCACGGCCGACGTGAAAGTGCCGACCGGGCTGACCGGCTTCACCATGCTACCTGTCTGCAGCGTCTCCGTGGGCATGTTGGGCGGTCTTTCCCCGGCGGCCGTGTTGGAGTCTCCTCTGGGCGCCTCCGGAGGGGCTGAATAGACACATGTACATGAAGCACAAAGGGCAGCAGACGATCCTGGGGTCTGAGTATCAGCAGCAGCAACTCATCTCACAGCTCATTAACTGCCCCTGTGGCTTCGATTCACTTTTCCCCCTAAAGGAGACCTCTGCACAAAAAAGGCCACAAGCCACAAGTTCCTTTTAATCTGCTTCGCCGCCTCCTTTCTTCTCACTGAAGGATGTAGGAGTCTCCTCCAGGTCTTTGTGTTCAACTGCAGGCAGGGAGCTGAAACAGAAAACAACCAACCACGGGTTAGGACCAGCGTGTGACATCACAGCTATAGCAACAGAGCCCCACAGCTCCTCCGCCTCCAGCTGCATGGCTGCCCGGTCGCTCGCTCCCTTTGCGAGTAAGAAGACCGCAGCAAGCCGGGGTGGCCGGTCATTCCCAGGTAATACCACGGGGACGACTGAGGCAGTGCATCGGAGCCTGTGCCCAAGAGCACATGGATGGGATGCAGACGTCTGGAGGAAAGAGGGCTGAGATTCCCCCACGCATGAATGCTCCCAGCTGCCTCACCACTGGTGAGAACTGACTTCGGGATATGCCCTGTTAGTATTATTTACATCAAAACTCATTAAATACTAGATGCATGCAGAAGTTAGGGTTTAGAAAAACCCCATTCCCAGCTCACTAAATACTGCTGGGTTCCTAAAAGTCCCCTACCCGCTTTTGGTTACACTACCAGTGAATTATTACACGTCTCCTTTGCAAGGAAGCAAAACTTCTGACTCTTTAGTACCAATTTTTAATAACACTTGGAATAATCACTTCTTTAACTCTTTGGAAACTGAAAAGAAGGACAAGAGATGGGACTGGCAGTAAAGACAAAAAGTTAAACAAAAACAAAAACAAAAACAAGTCCACACGTTTCAGTTACCTTATTTTTGCCAACCCAGTATATTTGGAAACATCTTCCGGAAACCAAGACTACTGATGAAGTTCATCCCCTTAAATACAAGCTAATTTTTAGTTATTAAAAAAAAAAAATCTGGAAATACTTCTAGATTATGTTGACAGATATGATTATAAATATCCTAGGTATAATAGCAGAATCAAGTTTCTTTGTGATATTTAATATTCACAAATCCCCTATAGTATTAGGAACAAAATCTTAAGATGTCAATCACACCCAATATTTTACTTTATGTTGTAGAAAACTTGTGTAATAGTTAAGCATTTATGGGATTTATAGACTTTCTGAACAACTTGACTACCCGTCAAAACAAACAAACAGACCAAAAAAAATCCACTATAATTTAACACTTATCAACACTCCCAATATAAAAGCTGTCAGGAGTCTTGTGTTTAATACAGGCTATAATGTAGCATTTCTCTCTGGAGCCCTAGGACCTACTCTAGTTGCCTGTTAGTGCTGGCAGAGAATTACACCCACGTCAGCATTCCAAAGCCACTGGTTAATGACCTTATGGCCATCTTTGGTTATAATTAGGAATATTAAGAGAGTAATGGATTCAACTAACATGTCAAATAACTAATTTACAAAGTAAATAAGGTGATAATACTATAAAATCATTTGCTTTCCAGGTAAGAAAATGAACTATTAACAAGCCTAGGAAAAGAAAAGGCCCGATACTTATCATCTTCTGGAATACTCACTCTCTTAATACAACCCATCGTTTTGCGAGAGACAATTTTGGTAATCTGCAAAGGGATTTGTTCTAATAAAAATATTCTCCCATGCAAGATCTGAGAAGCCCAAGGCAATTTCTACATCACAATTTCTGCTAATTGTGCAGTTCTATTTTGATACTTCAATTTTGTTTAAAAACAACCTCCTCTCATTAAGATTAAATGAGATTGTTTCTTTGAACACACTTTGAATAAAATGCCAGAAGGGGAACCCAGATTCCTCTCTGGAGCCTCTGCGTCTCAGCCTCAGCCTGTCTGCTTGTCCACCACCATGGGCTTCTGGCCCAGGACAGGTGAACCCAGCCCTCCTGGGGAGGACGGGCAACCTCATTCTCCCTCTACCAAGGAGCTCAGGAGCTGGAAAGACGAGGCAGAGCCTGGGTGTCACACCCAGGGTGCCTGAGGGAGAGCTGCCCCAGAGTAGGCTATGCTTCCACTGAGAACCATGGAACCCCTTCAAGCAACCACCTCTGGGGCTTTTAAAATGCATCCATGGAGGGGACAGGGCCAGGTTTGGGGCAGAGTGAAGGGCAAGACTGAGACCTGCACCCATCACCTTCGTGCCTATGGACCAAACCAGACCTCCAGCCAGTGGGCGACAGGAGACAGAGCTTGTATCCTTTCTCCTGGGGCCTTGGTCTCCTTCTCTGTGATAAGGAGGTAGTTGGACTAGATTCCTGCAATCCCTTGTAGCTCTAAAATGATATGGTTCCAAGGAGCTGAGCCACCACTTGTTTGTCAGCTTATCCTACTGTGGTGGCTTTCGTGTTGCTATGATGCTGGAAGCTATGCCACCAGTATTTCAAATACCAGGAGGGTCATCCATGGTGGACAGGTTTCAGCAGAGCTTCCAGCCCTAAAACTGACTAGGAAAAAAGGCCTGGCAATCTACTTCTGAAAATCAATGAAAATTTTATGGATTTCAACAGAATATTATTCAATATAGTGTTGGAAAATGAGCCCCCTATGTTGGAAGGCACTCAAAATACTCAGTGGCAGCAACAATGGACATCGAGAAGATGGCGCCACAGGACCAGGTAATGTTTAGTTCTGTTGTACATGAGGTCACCATGTGTCGGAGTTGACAACAACTAACAACAATAGAGGCCACAACAAGGAGTTAAGGATTAGTTGGTTCCCATTTCAAAATGGCAAATCAGAATATTGACCAATGGCTGAACTTTTCTATGGTTCCTGAATTTGCTGTTCTTAGGGAGATGCTCTTTGAATGATGGATTATAACTTAACATAAAACATCCACTGGCAAAGGTCCATGGAAACACAACTGAGGCTCAGGCCAGCCTGCATGGTCATCTTCCCTATGACCAGAAGTCCAGAAAGTCCAGGGTTACTGTCTTCACACGGCTGCCTGCCCAATCTGTCTGTTAGGGCAGGGCTCTGATACAGTCCAGACACTAAATACTCATACTCTCAACGTACAAGACTTATGTTTTCCAGGAAGCATTCCCCAAAAAACCAGCTGTCTTCCTTTCACACTGCTCTTTTCCTTCATGGAGAGGAGTAACTGGAAAAGGAGTCACACAGGAGAGAAACCCTTGGGAGGGCTTGGAGGAAAGGCCTCCAGTCACTCTTATTTGCTCCCCACCCACAATCTTAGGAATCAGTTAAAAACAAGCAAAAACACAAACCAGTTGCCATCCAGTCGATTCTGACTCATGGTGACCCCATGTGTGTCAGAATAGAACTGTGCTCCCCATAGGGTGTTCAATGGCTGATTTTTTCGTAAGTAAATCACCAAGGCTTTCTCCCGAGGCACCTCTGGGTGGATTCAAACCTCCAACCTTCTGGTTAGTAGTCAAGTGCATTAACCATTTGTACCTCCAAGGACTCACCCGGAAGCAATTAAATAACAAAAAACCAAACCCATTGCCATAAAGTCAATTCCGACTCACAGCAACCCTACAGGACAAAGTAGAACTGCCCCAAAAGGTTTCCAAGGAGTGGCTGGTGGATTGGAACTGCTGACCTTTTGGTTAGCAGCTGTAGCTCTTAATCACTGCACAATTACTAGAAGTAAAACTAGTGTGAAAGGATTCGGTTAGAAATAGTAACTACTGACGACGACTGTACACTTTATTTCCCTTTTGTTCCCCCTCTTTCTTTCCTCTGCCATTCCCAATTTTCCCAAAAATTTCCAATACAGTATTGATGCTTTAACATGACCATGGTTGGCATTTAAGGGTTTTAATCTGAACTCTTTGGTGGGGAGAAAGCATCTTACTGGAAGAATCCAAAACAACAGAAAAAGCTGTGGAAATTGGCTGGTGGTAATACGAACAGTTTTCTACCTGTTTTTGCCAACAAACTAAACCTACTTCAAAAATAATGAAGGTGGCTTAGGCTGCTCCTTCTTTTAATACTTAATCCTCAACTCTTGTTCTTTTACTTTTTGGTTTTTAAACAGCGTTGGCAGGGGCAAGGCCAAAAGTTCCGGAGAACTGCTCTAACCTTTGTAGTGTGCACTTTGTTACGACGTAGACTAGGTACATGCAACGAGGCCGGTCAGGTATAACATACACACCCGGTAAACGGAAGCTGCATCTTGATGTCATAAATGTGATGCACCGTTACCTTTGGAGCATGTGACCCTTTACTGCTGGAGCAGCCTTGATCAGCCCTGTGCCATCATGGCCCCCTGCCATCCCCAACAGGCCCCCTCGTGCGGCATGGCCCTGAAGCAAGCTGACGGGAAAACTCTGCATGAGCAGGAAGGGCACCCCTTTCCTCTTCACGTTGTTTTGGGGAAGGAAAATGAGATCGTAGCTACCTAGGGTTTTCATAAACAAAAGTAACTAGAAAGCCCTGCTTGATCCATGACTCATGGCTGAGGACAGAGAACATAAGCCCGAGGGTGGCAGAAACTTCCATTCACGAATCATTCCGGCTACATTCTGCCCTGTTTAATACTCATTTGAAAATTTCATGAAAGCGTAAAAAGGTTTGAGCAAAGGACACTTGGCAGAGGTGAGGTGCAAAACAGCCCATGATTGTGAGTGGTGCCGGCTGCTCCTCCCACTGAGGCCGCTCCTCCTACCAAGGAACAAGTCCTGGTGGGCAAGTCCCAGTCTGCGGGAGGGCTGGGTGCAGCCAGCCAGCCGGGGACAAGCAGGCGCAAGGGTGAGGGGGTGAAACTGTATCTCCCACTCACTGCAGTGATGCTCCTCAAACTTTCATGTGCTTGCTCATCCCCTGGGGACCTTGTCAAATGCAGTCTGATTCAGTAGATTTGGGGTGGGTTCCAAAAACCAAAAAAAAAAACAAACCCATTGCTGTCGAGTTGATTCCGACTCATAACGACCCTACAGGACAGAGTAGAACTGCCCCATAGGGTTTCCAAGGAGTGCCTGGTGGATTCAGACTGCCAACCTTTTGGTTAGCAGCCATAGCTCTTAACCACTGGGCCACCAGGGCTCCTTATTCTAATTAGGCATTTTAATTTTCCACAAGATGGAGAAGAAATTCTTTGTATTCTTATACAAAGAATAACGAGAAGGCACTAAAGGGTGGTTAAGTGTTTTGACATGGTCAGATTTGTATTTTTAAAATATC